TTTAAACATAATTTTTTATTAGATCATTAGTTTCGGAGCTCAACAATAAGCTTAATTGATAATAATATATATTAATAAATAATGAGGCAGTAGCATATCATTTAAGTAGCTTAACACTAGGCGATTAATTACCGAATTAAAACGTATTTCATACGATCAATCGCCTTGTGTGAAACTTCATCCGCACAAAAGAAAGATGTTCGATCGCTGTTTGGTCCCGTCGTTAAAATATTGTTTAACACTTACGTTTTATTTTGGCTTCAGCRTTTTACAGAGTGGATAATGTTAATCCATCGTTATAATAGTAATGATAATAATATGTTAGAAACGGGCACGCTTTTAGATGGTATCTACGCAATACATAGCCACACGCACGCGACACTTTCAAATCGAACCGATACCAAAAATAATGTTATTGCAAACGATGATTGTAGATTTCCAGTCGTATATTATAGACCGGTGGATATTTTTACGTAACGTAACGTCTTTCTAGCTGTTATCGTTCGGTCTTGTGTTATTTGATTAAGAAAAAAGTAAAAATTTCTCGAAACAACTTTCGACAATGACAAATATTATGAGCAATTTATTATTATTAGTGTTATTACGTGTGAATATATTTTGATTCAATATGTACCTTCGTAGGTATTACGTAATAGGCAATAACTATATTAATATTATTACCGTGCGATCAGTGATTGGAAGTACGCCAATAAAATATATAAAATATTATTGTTATCTTTGACAAGAGACTATTTCGATAATTTATTATACTTATACCTATATTATGTTATATATGATATAATTAAGTAGTACCAAACGCAATGATTTAAACATGAGCTTAAAATATATATTTCACCTGTACGAAAATACGACCACGGTGAAAGTTAGAATACYAAAACGCTATACATAACGTTGTGATTAATTAAATACATGAAAATATTAACAAGTAACAACCATTCGTAACTATTATAATAACAAACGAACTTTTAACCGAACAAAAACTGTTGCTGTTGTAATCTAACCATATTATAGTAATCTTCATCATCATCATAACTATTAAAACTAATGTCCACTTCAATTCTTCAACTCTAATGGGAATAATAACATAATATAGTCATATTTAGCATGATGTATTATTAACATATTATGTATTGTTTCCACCGCGGTTAGGCCTTCATAAAACGCGTACTTTGGTACATATATTATTATTGTAATAATAACTATAACTACAACAATTRCGACGTTTGCGACGATACTAATGTGGAAAATAAATATCATACAATATGGGTATCGATTGGTTTACAATGATGTTTGCAATGATTAAAAACGTCTGTGGATATTATACAGAATATTGAAATAATAATTTACCATAATATTAACGATGTTATGTTTTGGCGTCCGCACACTAAATGCTGACTTCCGGCGATTATTAACCGTGGTTGTAAAAACGAGTTGTTATGTGATGATGATAATGATAATAACATACTAAAATAATATATATATATATAGATATTAATTACCTAGTTAAAATAATAAGTAATAACGATTTTRAATGTGATAATAAAAATCATGCCCTTTTGGACCGGGTCAACTGAATATTAACAAAAATGGTTTTTGGGCTATAAATTAAAAAACCAAAGTACATGGTCGATTTTGTAGCCCCAAACCAATTGTGAGCATATATTATACGTAGTATACACATGATACACAATATTGAATATACATAGTGCATAATATTTTTTGTTTGTATGGTAGTACAAGTATTTAGAAAGTGGTTTTGGTGCACTATATACGGTCGTCATAATATTATATAGACGAATATAAATCATTGTAAATACTACATTTTGACTCTATCGTCATATTATATGAAAATGCATAAACATAATACACCTACACACCATAATAATGTTTACCTATATTATTATACCAGACTTATGATCCATAATATTATATAGACACACTTATATTCAAGTCAGGGCAGGGCATATTCAATAATTTAAGTCGAATCAATTTTAACTTTTTAACAAAACGAGTAACTCGTATTTTTATATTTWTATTTTTTTTTTATCAGATTAATTTTTTGACTCATTATTTTATGAAGGTAATAACTTTTACACTTTTGTCTTCCACTAAAATCATTTTGTTGTCCAACCTCGCCAAAATTACGAGAAAACCAAATCAATACACTTCATCAACGAGCTGATAAGTTGATTTCAAAATTTATATTCCAAAGTTCAAAGTGAGATTTATTTTGATTTGCCCAGCCTTGAGTACCTACGATGATAAACGCATAATTATTTAATATTTATAAAATGTGCCAAAAAGCACATCCATATCATACTAATCATATAATATATTAAGGATGATCTATTAAGTGTCTATATAGATTTTTTTTTTTTTAATGTTCATTTTTTTCAATTGCCGAGTAAATTATGAATTTAAAGTTAGATGAGTGGAGCAGAATAGCACGGGGGTACCCCGCTAAATGTTGGCCCACTATACACCACTCATCTAGGCTTGAAATAACTAATAAATTATAAACTACTCGTTCAAAATTTAATTTACGTTTTCGTAAATTTTATGAATAATATTCTACTCATGAATACACGAAATTCAAAATATATGTTGTCATTTAAAAGAATGTAAACAATTTTTAAAATGTAAAAATATTATATTATATTTTTTTTTTTAAGTTAAAACTTTTTGAAATAATGAGTTTGGACACTTAATGGATCATCTCATATACATATAAACTTGGTGGATGGTATATGAAAGCAACGAGGATTTTATTTGATCAAAACGTATGCGTATTATTTAGGTTGTGGTGTTTCGGTGGCCAAGCAACAAGGAGCGCAAAGAAGAATTGTTGGAGGTGACGAAGCTGGGTTTGGCAGCTTTCCATGGCAGGTAAAAAACAACAGCCACAACAATACCTATATTTTAGTATATAAATTTAAAATATAATAATATAATATTTATTACATTGTAATAATATACAATAAAYAATAATAACACGGYAGGTAGGTACTACCGTTCTTAATATACCGTAATTCATTACATATTTCGTGAGCATAATATTGCCACAGTCGCTATTCCATAACGATAATACAACGCTGTTTTGTCATCCGTCTTATTAAATTAACGTTAATTCACCGTGAGTTTTCGCGAATAAGAAAAAAAAAATGTCACCACCATCGCGGTAATATTATAACAACAATAGAATAATAACAATACATGTATCAGCCAGTATACTATTGTAATTATATGTATTGATTTATGACCTCTGATTGCCAAAAATAACGAATTTTATTCATAATTAGGGCTATATAAGGCTTTTGTTAAGCAATATAAAATAGTAATAAATTAATTTTGCCAAAATATTCTAAAATATGCAATCATAATAGTTGATATATCATAATATATTATATAGGTACATAATAATAGATATTATAAAATGCACCTATATAGAATTTACATATATATGTTTTCCAATGAGATAACCTGTGTGAAATATTTATACAGTATGTATCTTGTAATTTTGTTTACTGCTTAGATCAAGTACTGTGGATGTAACCATCAAGCTAATTTTTGATGTCATAATAAAAATATGATTTATGGATCAAATACACAGGCAAAATAACGAATATGGCTGCATCCATAGTACATGATCTAAGATAATATTATGAAAGAGATAGAGTACCTATAGCTTAAGCAAATCATAAAAGAATAAAACTATGTATATTATTTGGTAATAAGCAATATTTTCGAAAATAAATAATTATTGAGGTCAATGTAAAATGATTTGTTTTTCTATGATATCTTGGAAATATGGATTCAATTACCTTATTGSATTCAGGTATCTCTCTTTTTACAAGCAGTCCATATCTTTAAAGATCTTTTGGCAGTTCGTTTTGGTATTATTTTTAGTAGATACAAAATATGTCATTATAAGATCATATGTACGAATTATTTWWAAAAAAAAACTAAATTAAAATCAKAGACCTTTTTTATTCAACCATGTTATTTCTAGTTGTTGCTTTAAATTTATTTCGTACCATTATACAGTTGCTGTATTTATACAATTATTATTTATTGCAATATTCTTCGTTGTTATAATCTTTTACTTATAAAAAAACAGTGATCAAAACTATTGGTTTTCACATACGATTTCGGGACCCACTCTACCTATATCAAAAATATTGGCCTCTCGTCTTCAATATATTGTATAACCGGAATATTGCTCACACATTTTCACGGCCCGACATCATCGAACGCRCATCGCGTAGTGTATCCGAATGGTTTTCATCTGTTCACACAACGAAAACATCGTAAATAGCATTATTACCATCGACGCGTGTCATTACCGCAATAATCGTTTTCGAACGCAACCACTGCCACCATCTCCGTCTGATTTCTAAAACCCGACGACAATACGTAGGTACCTATGATTTATACAGTAATATTTTACGCGTTTGAAATACTTTGACGTTCATTATACAGTCGCRTCGCATTACAATATTATTAAATTATTAATAACATCGATCCGGATGAGTGACGGCGGAAGGTGAAACGGATCCAAGCATCAATCTGCAGCGGCGCCGCGCCGGTCCGGATATCGTAACGCGTGAGTCCTCCGGCGTCTGTGGCGAGTAGGTAGCATACCACTAGCACATGGTATAATAACGCACAACTTCGCATAATACATATCATTATAAAATTATGCGYAATAATAATAATTAATGTCTAATAGTCCGTGTAATTAATAACTGTAATGTATATGTATATACGATTTTCGGTAACAAATCAAACGGACACGTCGTCTTTACTGAAATGAAGTGCACTTTAAAACACGAAAATCATAACATGCCTATACGTTTTAATATATTTTGTATTTAAATTTTTTTACACCTACCTTTCTGATGCTTTAAGACATCATAATACATCAAACGTGCAGAACTGACGGTCATATACGTTAACTGGAGACTACGCACACATATTCCTGGAAATTTTTTGTATTTTTGGTAAAAAAAATTGATATTATAGATATATACTTATTACTTATAGTTTGATAAGTAACGTAATCACAACATTTTCACTATATATCTAAATAGATATTTATAATTTTTAATAATTATTGGTTTTCAAAGATATATTAATTTTTTAATAGTTATGCTGACATTTAGGAACATTTTTCTATATTACAGTTTTTTTGACAATAAAAATCACTCGATTAATTTCTAAATTTAACCCTGCTCCGTTTAAATATAAATACCCCGCTGAATACTTACAATATTTTATTTTCATACCTGATAACGAACTACTATTCTAAAACTTTTATATTAAATACAGTTTTGAAGAGCTTTGCACAACTTTTGCGGGAGTACCCTTTTTAATTTTACTAGCTCATCTGAACTTTGAATACATAAGAAATCATAAGAACCATTATCATAAATAATTTTTAATAATTAATACAATGTGATAATAGTAATTGAAACTGAAAAAAAAAAAAA